AAAGGGTTAAAGATGGCTAAAGCATATATGTTTCATAAGAAGAACTCTTTGAGGTTATCTTGAGAAAGAGGAAGGAATTAAATTCTTGTTTATCACTTTTTAAGTTGAGTTAATTGCCCTTTCTCTTCGCACTTGATTTTAACTTTGTACTATCCATGAGAGAGAAAGATCAGAGATGAGCTTAAAAGAAAAATATTATATAAACCTCATTTTATAATGTATACAAATGTATTAGTAGTATGATATATAGTAAGAAAGTATTGACTTAGGTTTGTTTAACAAGTATGTGGATACAATGAAACATACATGCTAAGTAACAATGAGAGGGAGGTACACCTACAACTTGAAAGTAAAGTGTAAAGACATTTAATTATAAAATTCTCAAATCTTTAATTTTACATTTATGTAACAGTGATAAAGTATTGTAACCCTTTTTTTTTACCAAGTGTACATAATGCATATACTTATACTTATAGAGTAAAAACATTGAATTGAAGAAATTTTAATATATTTTAAAAAAAAATGATATTCTGAAGAATATATCAATGGATTATCAGAAGAAGAAAAGGTTGCTTGGGTTTTAAGTTAGGTTTAGCTTCTATATGGCATGTATGGTGGTGTGTGAGAGAGAAACAGATAGAGACTAATCAAACAAGAAAAATATATATACGAAAAATAAAATCTTGTGAGAGAATATAGATGTGTGAGCTTCCTTTATATATTGACAAGAACATTCTTAAGTTATGGAACAAAACATCTTTGTCGTTTTTGAGTGTGCTGGTCTCTATATTCAAAGATACAATGCATAATAAACAAAATAATAATATATGCAATATATTAATTTGGTAAATTTACTGGTAAATGTATATAGGAACTAAAAATGAATCTGAGGTGGAGTGGGTTTGGGGCAAGGTGTTGCTGCTGGTCTGTGAGACCTCAGACATGATATGGTAGAAGAAAAATAAATAAGAAAGAGAACTTAAGGTCCAATGTCACCCTAGAGTGTATGTAAAGATATTGTTACATAAGCTTATACTTATAATTTACAATTTGTCTACTGTATATACATCTTTTCATTTTCTTAACGTCTCC